TAATTTCAATAATATTTCCATCACTGCTGAAATTACTCTGGGTTTATTGTGCCTAAATGTGGGGACTTCTGTCTTTCTTACACGTAGGTAAATCATTGTTTTGGACAATCACTGTGGTGCCTGATTGTTCGTCACTTTAAAATAATACTGTATGTATACTTCAGTTTGCTTTTGTTGTCATAAAAAATATATTTTTTTTGGGGAAAAAATGAAAATAGAATATTTAATTCAAATGTAATTCAAATATTTTGGATTCAAAAAAGTTTCCATGTTAGCTCATAATTCCCTTCCTTCATAATGGGACTATGACAGCCTCATCCCCTGTGAGAGAAGGTCTTTAATGATGGAAGATAAAATCCAGCTAGAGAGCACAACGTGCAGGAAAGAATAGGAGTATTTAGCAATCAGTCTATGACTTCCATGAGTCATTGTAATAAAATATCCAAATAAAATGCTTTTGTTTTTTTCACATGTAAACAAGAAATGGACAACTTTCCAGTTTTGCGATAATTGTTTTGTTTTATCTTGCCCATTAACTAAATCTTTTCTAAGACACAAAATTGTTTTGTAAAAAGGCTGTGTAACTGCTAAAAAATAGATTGGCATCACAAAAACTACATTTAGGATTGGAAGAGATTTGGAATAAAACTTGACAGAGTCTTATCAAAACTTTATTTCTTGATTTATTCATATTTATTTGAGGTTCCTTGCAAAGGCCTAATGACTTTTCCTGATGCTTCTACAGGCTTTGCAGGTTTCTTAGGAACTCCAAAACAGTATTTTTCATTCTTGTCTGTGAGATGTCCTGTCAACCCAAATCCACAGCTCTCTAATGACTTGACCTCTGTCTGGATCTTCTTTGTCTGATATCACCTCTTTGAAAAATTGTATTTATTTCAATATATATGGGATCCATAATTATTGAGGCAATATTAAAACCTAGCAGTCCGCTCATTCATGACTGTTCACCTGAATGAATACATCATTGGCAAGGATGTTGGGGAAATCATCTCAGGAAACTAAATCAAAATAATGTTCTAAAGTGGAGATCATTTTCCAACCAACAAAGGAAGGACTGGAAAACAAACTTCTTCATTTCATATAAGAAATGTAATTTAATCAACCATTTTTAATTCAAAGTGCTTTCTTTGTGTTACATGCTGTCTTGTTCAATTCAGCTCCTCCACACTGTAGCTCCTGACAGTTCTCTCCTTGACATTTCTAATAATAATTTCAATACCTTCTGAAAATTCCTGTAAAGGAGGATTTATATGATGAGTTAATCAAAACAGACTATACAGCGGTGTGTTTTCATCCCAGATAAATATCCATGTTCCATTACTGAAGTTGATAAAATATTTGATGGACAGCAGTGACCTGCTGCCGACTGTTCCTGTGCTACTAGATATTTTTTTTTTCACTTCAGAAATATATGAGCAGGCTATATATTCATTTTTTTCCCCTAATCTTGCAGCTGATTGCCTAAAACCTCCCGTCTGTGGCTTATGCAAGTTAGGTTTAGAGGCCCTTGCTTTGATAAAATTGATGCTGCAGTGATTTGACATAAATTAATTTTTCATGGAGACAGTTTCTGTGGGGCTGCTGGCACTAAGTACACATGAAAAGCACATGCCTGGCAAAACTGTCATAATCCAAAGAAACCAAGGCTGTAGTTGATGAGGAATGATGTATGATGAATAACAAAGGCTCATTTTAAGGTAAGGCTCACTTGGAGAATGGTTGCTATCTATGCAAGCCAGGCAGCTGCAGCCTGTGAGACACAAACCCAAATTACTTTCACAACCAGCTGGTTCAGGGAGTCTCCCACTACATGAATGTTGCAACATTACTCAATATAAATCAGGAAAGAGAGTAGTACACTAAATCTACCAGCTTCTAAAGAAACACCTCTTACCCCTCTTTCTTCTTCTTACCCTAGCTGATTTATCGGCAACACTCTCAAGTATTTGTTCTGAATTGGGATGTCAGGAACCAAAGGCATTTACCACCAGTGAAATGAAACAGGAGATTTGCCTTGATTAATAAAAGTACCAGCTTATAGTGTAACAAGTCAACCAGTGTAATCATATGACTTCAGAAATGCTGCTTAGGTTATGACAGTGTTTGCCTGGCTTCTTCTATAACCTCTCCTGAAACTGTGGAAACATGGAAAAGAAAGATAACTGAAAATCCTGAGCTTGATGCCTTAGGTTTTGCCTAGAGCCCCAGGGTGCTACTCATCCATCTGCTCTTTGCAAGAGAAATGTTGTTTCATGTTTGCTGTGGGGAACCATTTTCCAAGGCTTGGCACCAGCGATAACAACTGCAAATAAGGGTCATTAGCAGTGTAGCAAGAAATACCCTTCAGCACTGGGTCTCCTAAACATGCCTCCAGGTCCACGGGGATATTGTCACACCGGAATTTTTACTATCTCCTCAGTTCAGCAGCATCCCCCAAGCCACCTCGTGACCAACTTCAGACAAACTTAACTGGCCAAATGAGGCCAAGTGTTATTCAGCAAGATTTAAGGCCATATCATTGCCTGCCAAAATGGAAGAAAATGTTACAAGTACAACAGAAAATAAATCCAGTTTGTCTAGACTTCATAAGCAGGCAGCCAGGCTTATTCTTTTTCAACAAGAGCCTAAATGTATCTCTGTTCTGGGCAGCCTCCCATCGGTGTAATTTCCCATTTCTTTTCACTATTTCAGGGTCAAAGTTGACAATGAGTAGCCAATAGCACTCTCCCTCTTCTCTTTAGGAATTGAACCTCCCTCTCTTTCTTTTCTGTAAACTTCATCAATGTCTTCACTCACTCATGGTCCATGTCTTTGAGATTTGGGGTTTGGAATAAAAATTGATTTTTTAAAAAAAATATTATTTTTTTTTTCAGGTGGCAGGCCTCGAGGGCCAGCCTACTGGCTAACTACTCTTGTCCAGTCTGATCTTGAGAATTTATGTCTTAATATCCTGCTGAAGCCATTAATGTCATGTATTTAATGTTATGGAAGAGATGAATTACACATACGTTCTCTAAGTTCATGGTCTTTAGTATATTACCAGCTTTCAAAGGAGATTACACTTGACATATTAATGAGAGTTACTACAGAAAGGTACCTCGTCCAACATACACCACCCACTTTCGCCATTAGTGTTAGTGGCCTAAGATAACACAGTCCATCTTCTTCTACTCATTAGTTAGATTCTCTGATTACATTTCCTCAGATCTTCCTTTGGAGAGCAGCAGCTTGATCTACCCATGTCCTTCTGCAGAGACCTATCAGTAGAGGACCTCAATGGCATTGAGAACACCACCTTTGCTTCCAGTTGGGTTACACCCTTCTGTGTACGCTGTTGCCTCTTTCTGAGAACTGACTGTTACTGCCCTCAACCCAATACTGAACATGGGTCGGAATCACAGTTCACTACCGGTATCTCTATTTATTTAATTAGGTAATCTCTGAATTACTATCTTTGGGCTACTAACATTCCCCTGGACTTTCACCCCTGAGTATATACCATACAATGTCTCTTTAGAACTTGTTTGTTGAGACTTTCCCTTTGTTATACAAATTACAAAACTTTTTTAGCAGTAGTATGAACTTGTTTCATCCTTCTGTTCAGTCTTAGCACTACCTTTTTAGTAGTTAAATCAATCAGGGAATTAATTTTGTGCTGATTTTGTATAGAAAGCCCTCAGTAATGGATTAACCAAATAAGTAAAGGCTTAGTATTTGTCTGTATAGCATTAGGTCTAACAAAATATTTGAAATGTGGGATGTATAAGTGATGTTAGCATATTGAAAAGTGTAACATTCACTCAGGTAGAAGCTGTTTTCAGAGTCTTCTCTTAAAAACTGGAATTTAAATATTTGAAAACAACTCCCACTGAATTTACTGACTTATTGTTATGGGTTGGCATGAGAGAGAGCACCTTGAATTAACTCAGAAATTAAAGGCTATCCCTAACATTTCATGTCTTAAAACACATACTACAAACTAAGAAGCCATGTAAGCCTTTGTAAAATAATAATTTTGATAATAAACCCTTTAAGGCAGAGGTTTTATGTTTAAGGTGTATACTTGTACATGAAAACTCTTTCAAAACAATACAGGATGTGAATATAGGATGTAGGGAGATAGCTATTTCCACACAAACTCTTTATGTGGTCGCTCCTAATCCCAACAGAGGATCTTACTGAAAATACCTCATACTGGTTTGGAAGCAGATTAGTGTAAATCATATCTAGGCCTCCTTAGTAGGGAATTAAACTGTGTATAAAAGGAGAGTGACCATGGAGCTGTTATTGTGGAGAAACTCTCACCAGGCTGTTTTTGCACATTGATGCGCCTCGTCACAGTGGAGTCCTGATATTGACTGGAGCCTTTCTTTGCTCCTCCACCAGATAAGCATTTATGACTGGCAGCACTGCAGACTGTTGAGTTGTTTGAACTGTTTATAGTAGTATTCCTTTCCTGAAACGTAACAGATATCTCTTTTGGGCAGCATTCCTCCTGGTAGCAAGCTGTCACTTCCTAAGTTTTGCACTGTGGTGAGATGAATGCTTAGAAAGCAGGATGCACTTGATTTTATTCATAAAGCATTGCACATGTGGTGGAACATCCTGGCTTCATCTAATTAAGCAATAATTCACCATGGGCAGCGGTGTCTTTCAGAGTGGTTATTGTCTGCTTCAGCTCGCTTGCTGAAAGGCCACACAACTGGAAGTGGAATAATCCCCTGGGAATTTATTTTCCAGAATGCTTTACTAACAAGAAGTAAGTAGCTTTGTCCTGTCTTAAGTTTTGGTTACTTATGCGTTTTTTATATTATACAATGAGAGCAAGGCCTGGCTTCATGGAGCACAGCAACATCTCTGGGCTAATGATTTGAGATAGGGTCAAGACAGCTGAGCAAAATCTTTTCCTACTCCAGGTGTGTTACCTGAATGAGATCTATTGTCCCCTCTTAAACTGTTAGCAAGGCTACTGGAGCTAGGCTTTGCTGGAGAATGTATGGAGCTATGATCAGGTCAATAGTAGTGCTTTATCTCTTTTCTGCTTTTTGTTTTGATTTTGTTCAATGCAACTTCAAAATCAAATGAAAGAATGGAAGGGTAGGCTGAGTGGAGAACAGAAGCATATGCGTTCAGCGGAAGAGGTAAAGAAAGGGCATATTGAAGAGACTGTGAGCAGAAAGGAAAGAAAATGTAAGTAATAAAAAGAGCCAAGAAAGAAAAAGGAGGGGCAGGAGGTGGGTAGTATCATTAAAGAAACATAGAAAAGGTGAGGGTAAAAGAAACATGGAGGTAAGAGATGCTGAAAAAGGATTCCTGGTAGGAAAAGCAATATGTGAGAAGGTCTGAGAGTGGTGGGATTTGTGATGGCTGAGTAGAGAGCGAGTCTGGGTAAGAGATGCTCAGAAGCAATGTTGATGACTTGCAAATTTGAGGATCAGGAAAGGTAGTGGAAGAAGAGGCTCAGAAACTCCAGGGAATTCCCTGAAGGCCCAGGCAGGGAGCAGGCAGGTGGGCTGCTCCAGGGAGCTGTTCTGTAGTCCTTACTTTACAGTAAAAGGTGGTAGGGCAGATCAGAGCAGGAAGAGAAGAACAACTCTTAAGAAGGAAGAAGCTGACTGGGAAAGACCTTTGCACAAAGTAGCTTCTGTGTCATCCTGAACTTGATTCAAAATTTAGTTCTCTTTAACTTATCTCACCAGCTGTGTTACGGGTTCACAGCCATGCCAGTAACGGGTTTTAGGGCAGTAGTTTCTTTGTTTCTGTTCTTACCTTGAAGCAGTGCATGAACAATTTGAGTGAAGCCCTTTCTTTGCATTGCTAAGCCTGTGCCCCTGGACCCGCAGGCTCTGTAGTCTTTCAAGCATGACATAAAGAGAAGCAGCAAGGAAATCTTCTTCCCTTTGTTTTTTGGGTCTATATTCTGTTAAATCTGTGAAAAGGCATAGCTTTTGAGTTGCTTAATGTAGAAATTTCCTATCTCTGTCTCTTTTTTGCTTAACTTGATCTTATAAGACTGTGTGAATTCCCAGGTTGTGTTATGTTGTCTGAAATAACAATCAAGGGAGAGGGAAATACTTTGTGAATTATGTACCTGTAACAGCACTTCAAAGAGGTTCTCCCCTTAATCTTATTTTTTTTATTTCTTCCTGTGGAGAAGCTAAATATATCTAAAACAGAATATTTAGAAAATGTCATTAATCATGGCTTTCTTTTTTTCCCTCCATCTATAAACAAAGGAGGTAAGCTGGAGAGTGGCAAGGCAAAAAATATAGATAATAGACTATCTCCATCATTCACTTACAGCTAACTACAGCAATATTCTGCTGTAGACCATGAATATATATATATATACCTGTTTGCTATATATGATACTCAGGTAGTGTTATGATTAAGACATAAGATTTTATTTTTATATCTATCATGGAGTTTGGCTTTTATGATCAATATATTTTGTTTACAGAGTGTGTGAGGTTTTTGTTTTGTTGCTGTAATATCTGGCTAGCAGAAAATGTATCTGTTTCTAAATCAATAACAAAAAAAATTTGCATGTGTGGAAGATAGTAAATTTTATTGTCAGAAATATTTCTCAAAATAGAAAGGAAGTCCTTTCAGTGCTAAATTTAGCTTGTTCTTCCTTGCTTGGCTGTTCTAGAAGCATAACAGACTTGGGGAAAGCTAACTACACAACTGCTTCTCTGCCAGGTCATCATGGCTTTATTACTGTTGCAACTGGATTTAATCAAAAGGGGTTAGACAAAATGTGAGCCAGTATATTCAGTGTATTCTGTCCCAAGCTGCTGTTTTCTATCTGGGTCAAACAGCTCCTGTGGAAAGTGACTGACCCCAGTTGTGCTCAGTCCTGCTTACCAGTGTCAGTGTAGTTGCAAGGTGGGGAGAGCCAGGACAGTGAGAAGTGTGGTGGCACGAGTTCCTGAATTGTAATCAGCTCTCTCTTTCCAAAACCACATATGCAGTTGAAAATTGCAGGTAACATTTGTGCTGGGTTGGAAACAGTAGGGCTGTTTTCCACCTGTTCCCCAAAGCAAGATTGTAATATGTAACTGACAAGTGTCAGAAACCCTCAATGAACAACTGCAGCAGGCTTAACGCCTTCCCTGCTGGAGTGGGTTTATGTGGCAAGGTTTTGGTAGCAGGGGGCTGCAGGGTTGGCCTCTGTGAGAGGAATCCAGAAGTTGCACCATGTTAGCTGAGGGCCAACTTCAGCCAGCTCCACAGAGACCTGCTACTGGCCAGAGCTAAGCCATTAAGTGATGTTGTTTGTGCCTCTGTAAGAGCGGAATTAAGAAAGGAAAAAAACTGCTGCACAGCAGCAGCTGGGAGAGAGGAGTGAGAAGCAGCCCTACAGCCCCCAAGGTGAGTGCAGCAGGAGGTGCTCCAGGCAGGCAGCAGCAGTTCCCCCATGGCCTGTGGAGAGGCCCCTGGTGGAGCAGGCTGTCCCCCTGCAGCCCATGGGTCCCACATGGAGCAGATCTCCATGCTGCAGCCCCCCCATGGGTGGAGGAGCCCCCGGTGGAGCAGGTGGATGTGGCCTGGAGGAGGCTGCGGCCCATGGAGAGCCCCCGCAGGAGCAGGCCCCGGGCCGGAGCTGCAGCCCATGGAGAGGAGCCCACGCAGGAGCAGGGGTCTGGGGGGAGCTGCCACCCACCCATGGGGGACCCGTGCTGGAGCAGTTTGCTCCTGGGGGATGGACCCTGTGGGACGGAGCCGTGTGGGAACAGTTGTTGCAGAGCTGCTGCCTGTGGGAAGCCCCTGCAGGATCAGTTTGGGAAAGACGGCATCCCGTGGGAGGGACCCCATGGGGAGCAGGGGAAGAGTGAAGGAGCAGCAGAGGAGAAGTGCTATACACTGACGGCAGCCCCCATTCCCCTGCACCACTTGAGGAGAGGAGGTGGATGGGGGGAAGGTGTTTTTAGTTTGTTTTCTTTATTTCCCAGTGCTCTAGCTTGTTCATAATAGGCAATAAATTTATCTAATCTTCCTACTCTGAGTCTGTTATGCCCGTCATCATAATTGTTGAGTGATCTCCCTGTCCTTATCTCAACCCTTGAGCTCTTTTCATTGTATTTTTCCCCCTTTCTGTTTGAGAAGGGGGAGTGAGAGAGCAGTTGTGGAGCTCAGCTGCCCAGCTGAGTAAAACCACCACACCCAGCCTGCTCCTTCCCTGGAGTGATTTACTACTCTGTCATTTATTCAGATTTTGCCTAATGTAATAGTGATTTCTGTCTTGAGAAGCCTTGCAAAATAATCAATATATTTGACCTTCCTTTAGGTGATAGATGGAAGATCTTTGAAAATTATGAGCAGGACTTATCCCAGGCTCATCTCTAGATCATGGATCAGTGCTCTAGAGCCACCTGAAAATTTGTGCCTTGGAGCACTTGCCCTGTCTTTGTCTTTTCCACTCTAGGAGGAACGTCTTAAAAAGAAAATCTGGGTAGATCAATGCTAACGTAATGACAGAGAAGAAGTTTCTGTATTTTCTTCTATTTGTGATCCATCTTCAGTATTTTCCATATGCCTGTTCAGCTGATATCTGAGCTGGATATGGGTCAGATTGTTTTTGTGTCCAGTAACTCATAAACTGCCTACAACCTGTATCAGCTAAAAGCCTTGAGCACCAGAATATCTGTCAAGCCTGCTCTGAATTAGTATACCGTAGTGGATGCATGGCCTACTCTGTAGACCACTGAAGGTTTATTATTAATCTCTTTTGTTTCACAATGTAACTTCATTGGGTAAGATGACATAGTGATTTAATGAAGTTTAGCCATGGAGATGCTAACCTGTATCTGGAACGTGCACTTTAGATTATATCTGGATCTGCAAGCTCAGATTCTGACAACTAAGACGAAAGTAGGTTTGTGTACACTGGAAAAGTCAAGAATTGGAAGTAATTAATGTAATTAAGGTGGATTAGTTAAATAGGATTAATTCCTGATCTTCCAAAGTGAATTAAACTAAGCCAAGTTAAGACCATTTTCATTCCAAGTAAAAGTATCCACTTGCCAGTTTAATGCAGTTTAACTAATCTTCTTAAAAAGTGAATTTGGATCGCTTTTCCTGAATATCCTCCTGTACCTAGTTCCTTCGCATTAAAACAAATAGCTTCCACATTGCTTCCTTTAGGGCATGGTTGAACCTGATGCTCAGGATTGGAGCCTATGATTAAATGTATTTGGGAAATAAGTTCTGTATGGTACTAAGGGAAAAACAGTCTGTGAGTGCTAGGAGTAAAATTAATGGAACTTTATTTAGTTTTAAGTGCTAAAATGAGACAGTTCAGACTGTGCATCTTCCGTGTTTTCAATGTTTACACCTTTAATACCTACAAACAGGGTGACAAAGGCATCTAATCTTAGCAGCAAACTGGGTGGAAGGCTAGTGTAAGGGCAGGCAGGCTGAACTGAATGCATCATTATTGTTCTAGGACCCGTGTTCTCTTAAGTTATGATCTGCTTCATAATGTGATTTTCTGCCATTTAGGGTTAGCAGGTGAGCTGTACCATAAGCCCTGCTGAGTGCTGAATGACTGGGAAATTTTTGAAGCTCCTCTCTGTGTCTGGTTTTTCAGTTGGTGGAGGATGGCTCTCTCCATGCACCCAGCTCCATGGCTTATTTTTGAGAGTGGCAGAACCTTTGTCTCCTACAGTTTCTCTCTAAGCAGCATGGTTTTTCCTCTTTTTGTTGGTCTGATCTTGATGGAGACAAAGTACTAGGACTTCGCTTAGCTAAGACAGTGCTGAACAGTGCTGCTCCCACTGCATCGCCTTTTTTCTCAGGTCAGTCACCTAAAGCTAGTTGCCTTACTTTAAAAAGGAGTCACATGTATTGGACATCAAGGTTAAAATTATATATACTCTACTGAAGAGCTAACAGTGTATTTCAAGCATGCATATTGTGGGAAATCATTTAAATAACCCAGTTTACTAACTAGAGCCCAGGACTGAAGAATATCGTAGGCAGTATTTAAAAAAACAAACAACAAAACATCATAAATAGGTAAGTTCTTTTCTTTCTACATGCATTTGCCCCTATTGGAATGTCTGATTACAAGACTACAAATTGGAGCTCAAATTTAGTAATTGGTAGCATCAGGATTGAAACCTCCATTTCTCTTTTTTTTTTTTTTTTTTTTTTTTTTTCTTAGTGGGACAGCACGTAGTCTTAGT